GATCACTGTGGATGACGCGCACAGGTCTCACGCGCCAGCTGTTGGACAAAACATAAAAAGTACAAATGCTCTTGGTATCACATGCCAGCTGTTGAACAAAACACACTAGTAGAAAAACTATCTGCGCGACCAAATTTTAAGCGACGAAGCAGTTTTCGTCGCTCAAGGATCCTTTGCGGGACAAAATAAAGGTATCGTCGCACAAACATGAAGGCCATAAAAAATATATCAAAATATTAGGCAACAAAAGCTTCTCCGCACAGGAAGGCTTAGCATGACAAACTGAATAATTTATCGTGCAATTTCAGGAAAAAAAAAAAAAAGGTCGGTAAATGAAGATTTGGCACTAATATATTGCATGACAAATGATTTTTTGCGCGATGGAGCAGGTTGTCGTGTAAAACTTGTGCGACAAACACTTCGTCGTGTAAAGCACTTTGAAATGGTCGATGTGGTCGGTGAGACATTTAAGGCAGAGTAATTTTGCAGACTTTGCATGTTGGGGGCTTCGTCGTGCAAAAGCTTCACGAGTTCTATAAAATCTCAGATCCACTATCCCTTTTGCCTCATTCTCTTCCCATCATTTTCCCCAAACCCCTTATCCCCTCGTTTCTTCTCCCCCAAACCCCTCATATCTCAATTCTTGTTTCCCTTTTCTGTGACTCTTTCTGTCAACAATCTTCGATTTCCAAGGTAAATCTTTATATATCTAAATGAAGAATAATTTTGTTTCGATAATTAATTTTAATTTATAAATTATGTCTCATAAGTTGTGGGTTTTCGAATATAGTCAAATTATACTATTGTAGAGGTTCGATTCCATTGTTGCTCCAACTAAACAGGAATTTGAGGACAATGATCTCGGACAGGTAATACCAAAATTTTGTATGAATTGTATGGTTTGTTTTTTTTGTTGAAATTTTTTACTAGTTTATTATAATAAAAGTTGACGAATTACTTACTTTGATTATTAAAATTTGTTTTTTCTGTAGAGAAACAAAAACAAAAATGTCAGGGTGGGCCAGAAGCAAGAATATTGACGGGCCAAGGCGAATCAAATATGACATGCAGCTTAAAAGATCAAAGAGGGAGACGCAAGCCATGCTTGGGCACAACATAGGTGCAGAACGCGTGTCCTAGGGAGTTGGCATCTTGGAAAAAATGCCAGAGGACTTGAAGAAGTCTTTGTTGGATGAGGTATCAGTAAGTGCCAATTAGTAATTTAATAATTTTTTTTGCTATATAATATATTGTAATGTTTAATATTTTAGTATTTTGTGCATAATAGGTTGATTTTATTACTGATGAAACGGACCCTAACCTGATGAATTTCATTGATTGCGTATTCAAGAGGCGTTATCAGGAGTGGAAGCATGACGCCGATCGAAATGCAGAAGAACCACCAGCGTAGTAAATGTTTTATTTAGATGTTATGAACGAATAAAATAATTTTTTAGCATGTAATCAGATTATATTAACATTTGTGAATGGTAACCTTAAATATTTTCTTAATTTGTATTTGGATTAAATATTTACTTTAAGTATTTGTTTGCTTTATTTGATTTATTATATGGATGATTTAAATATCTCATTTAAATATTTTATTTTCTTTAATTTAGTAAAAAAATTTAGTCCATATTAATTAAATTAAAAAATTAATAAATAACTCTCGTGACAAAGCTCTTGTCGCGTAAAGGTGCTATGTGCCACGAAAGTCAAGTTGGTCGTGCAAAGGTACTTCGTGGGACGAATTCAACATTGTTCGCACGAAGATACTTTGAGTGATGAATATTTCGTCACATAAATTAAATTAGGGTTAATTGGTGACATATGTGTTGCGCAATGAAGCCTTCATCGCGCAAAGATCTCGTGTTTATAATCAAAGTACCCAACCGCGAGAGAGGCATAAATTGCACAAGAACTGCAGCAATTGCCTCTCCCCCCCTCCTCATATCTCTTTGAAATCTCCTCCACTCCCTCCTCTCTCAAATTCATCCACTATCTCCCTCCATCTCCACCTCCATCTCCTATCCCTTCCTCGATCTATCCCTCTCCGGTAAGCAATTTGATTTTGTATTTAAAATTTTCAATTGTGAATTCAAACTAACAAAATTAAATGCAAATATTTTTGTAATTTTTGTGATTTAATTTATTTATATGCAAATATTTTTGTACATCATGTAGAAAAATATTTATGTTGTATGGAGTTAACAGTACTTAACTTCATATATATTTTGTTCAAGAAAAGCTCAATTTTCCATTTGAGAATTAGTTGGATTTCGCGCATGGATGCGAAGTATGACTGTGGTCCAATTGATTCTCGAATTGTCCAATTTTTTAGACAGTTTGGGAATGCACAGTTATGTGTCATAGTTTTTGGTTCATGAATTAGGTTTCGATCATTGAAATTTTGGTAGCATCTCTTTACAAGTGCATGCTAGCTACGTTGTGCACTTGAAGAACTATAGGAATGCCAAAAAAATTTCACGTCGAAATCTAATCTGATGGAGTCGTAAATTACGTTACATAACTATGTTGTTACACTGAAGGATAAGGTGACAAGACAGTTGAAGTTGTTGTAATCATACTACTTTAATTGTGTTTGCAAACAAAATGGACATATAGTGGGTATAGAATCCGAACAGAGTTGTTGTTAAATACTTGGATAGAATATATCAATTTATTAAATTCACAAGTAGACACAACCAGGTTTCAACTCAAATCCGGTGTCTGTGTAGGAAGTGTAACAATTCAAATTTGGAGACATTCGAAAATGTGCGATTTTCATTTAGTAATAATGGGGTAATGGAGACCTATAGTAGAGGAAATTATCATGGGGAACGATTATACCATGCTTCACCTTCATACGTGACATGAGTGGAGATTGTTTAATCTAATATGGATCGTAATGAACAAGTTATGGATATTCTAAATGACGCTTATCCATATGCCTTAATGAACACCATTAGGAAGGGGAAGATGACGCCCCTCCAACCATGGACAGTGAAGCATTCAAAAAACATGAAAAACTATTAAGAAATGTCATTGTTGAGTCCCTGGATCAGACCCTCGGTCGTAGGCCTAGTAAGGTTGTCCTAGGGATGGCAAATCCACGACATCGTGACTTTACTGCCTCCTCTTCTCGACAGAGCACGAGACAGGTCACCACGTTGACACAAGAAGTTGTGAACATGAAGCAGAAGCTTGTGGCTCAGGATGCCCAGCTTGCGGACTAAACTACTCAACTTTCAGCACAGTATGCCCAGCTTGTGACCCATGACGGTAAGACGAGCTAGATCTTACACGCTCTCTAGTTGTCTGATTTCCAATTCATGATGCCACCAGCTGCTCCTCAGCCAGCAGATGTTCCTCACCACCTTTGAGCTTCCAACCACTCCACCCAGCAGGCCGATGCAGTAGACCTTGATGACTTTCTTCTGTAGTTTTTTTTTTTAATATTCAGATATTATAAAAAAATTCAACTTGCACGCACATTTTCATACATATATATATGTGTGTGTGTGTTATATAATATTTTTCTGTTTATTAATTATTGTTTATAATTTAATTAAAATAATTACAAATTATGTAATTTAACAAAAATATAAATGAAAAAAATTAAGAAAAACCTTTGCGTGGCGTAATACCTTCATCGTATACGATTAAAAGCAAGGAAGACCTTCGTCGTGCAGTATCTTGAACGACGAAAATTTCATAATTCAAAATATTAAAATTACTCGAAGACCAAATATTATGTGACAAATTTTGTTGCATTCTTGTTTACTCAATGAAACAATTCTTCTCACACAGCCTTACCTAATGACTAGTTGTCGTGGCCGTAAACTCAATGCGACGACAAGCTATCGTACCCTTTGTTTAGGCGCGATGATACCCCTACCTTTGTGCGACGACATTTTCGTCGTGCCAATGTTTAAGCGACCGAAGTTGAAGTTCGTCACGGAAACTGTTTATTGTAGTAGTGATTAAAAATAACACATGCTCTGAAGAAGAAGTAGAACCTGGTATAAGGAGTCCACAACAACCAATTAGCCACCAAACCACTCCATATCTTTGTGTAAAGGTTGATTCTATTATTATTTAACCAATTGTTCTTTTTTTTAATGGGTAATATTGGGGAGACAGCATTTACAAACTAAATGATGTGTAGCCGATAGGAATAAGCACGTTTATGAATGCTTAAATAATAATCCAATCATCAACTTCCATGTCATTTCGTTTACAAAATTTTATCTATAAATTCAGTCTCGCTCGCATCACCCTTTTTTAATAGTCATATATAAATGAGTTTTGTCTCTCCATGTAATAAAAATAAAACCAATCTTTCTCTGAAACTAAAACAATTTTTCCAACGAACTTTGACACTAAGATAAAGAGGTATTTCACTAAAATTCAACTTAATTAGCAAGAACTACAATAGCTGGGGTAAAGTAAAATAAGTAAATTGAAAATAGAAGCATAATAATATTCCACATTTTATCTAGAAACCGCGCTGAATGGGAGAGTGAAGCGGAATGAAGAGTAATTCTATTGGTCGATGAGTGTCAACTTCATGCAGTAAGAGATTGACAAGGATATAAACGCTTTATTTTCAAAGCCCGAAATCTGTTAACCCAAAACATTCCTCATATTACTCAAACTCTTCCCTTTTCTCATCCCCTAAAATCTTTTCCTTTTGCCTTTTCCCAACTACAAATCTTTTTTTTAATGTCTGTATATATTATCTTATATTTTTAATTATGATATTCTCTCTTTGGGTGCAAAATAATTATAGGCCCATTTGGATTAAACCCTAGCTAGCAATATATGTATGTTCCCCATTGTGAAAACCTCGTACCTTCTCTCTCTATCTCTATAGAGCTTACACATCTCTAAACCCAACCTAGGTCTTTAAAACCCTTCAGCCTCAGACTCAGTCATTCCTCCTCTCTTATCTCTCTTTCAATTTTCCCATATTTGATCGGTTACAAAGCATAACATTAATGGAGATGAAGAGAGGAGAGGTTGCGCTTCAATGGTTTAATACTACAGGCCCGAACAACGACCATCTAGTCCTCTCCCCTTACATCTTCCCTGAAAACCACCTTCGTCGCGATTCTCCTTCTGCTTCCTTGCCGGACATCTGTTGGGACCCTAGTCTGGGGAACGTTTCTTATCAAAACGCCATGCTCCCAAATCATCTATACCAAAACCCTAACCCCTCACAAAACACCAATCTCAATAATAATACTGATTTTGCTGATCAGAGCCAAAATCAGCATCATCTCCCTGCTGCTTTGAATCGACTGAGCATATCGAATAACAATTCTCATCATCATGATCATCAGCCGCAGCCTGGTGGTACTGCGTCGAACCTAAGAGCAAACAGCTTCTCAGGAGGTAATGGTTTTACTACTCAATACCCATCCCCTCATCATGTGCAAGAGGAGGAGGAATATTTGGAGAGGTTGAAGAATCAGTATGTTTTGTTGATGGCACAGATGGATCAGTACGTGAGGCTTCATGGATCCTTTTCCAATCATGGTACCACTAATAACCATAATTTCAATGGTGCTCTTCCCCATTCTTTGTCAGCGGCACGCGGTAATTTTCCTTTGATAGAGGTGGAACCTATTTATACAGGAGGAGCGAGTCGGGGTGGGAGTAGTAGTACTTCTAGGCCAAATAATATTGCTCAATTTTCCTCTGCTGATCAATTTGGTGCTTATGGATATCATCCAATGAGGCCTAATAATTCGCTGCGAAACGGATTAACTAGCAGCCGCGGATCATCATCAAGGTATGCTAATGGGTCAGGACGACAGCGTCTACGTACTAATTTCTCATCATCATCGTCATTGGAACAAAGCGGCCAAGTGATGACTAGTAGTAATTTAATTACCAAAGATCATGATCATGGCATCAGGGGATCAAGGTTTGCTAATGGCTCTGCACGGCAGCAGCATCCAAGTACTTTCTCTCTGACTTTAGAAGAAATAAGGGGCCAAATTGCTTTGGTGGCCAAAGATCATGCCGGGTCTAAATTTTTGCAGAAGAAGATGGAGGAGGGCAAGCCGGAGGAAATTACTATCATTTTCTCCGAGGTCATGGAGGCGGATTTCCGTGAATTGATGGTTGATCAATTCGGCAACGAACTTGTTCAGAAACTTGTTGAAGCAGCCAACAAAGAAGGATGGTCCAAAATGCTTGACTTGGTGATGAGTGATGAGAAAAAACTCAAGGACATATGCACTGATCAGCACGGGTACAAATGATACGTCATTGATTTTTTTTTTTTCTAATTTTTTATTTAAGTGACGGTGATGACAATTCAAAATCTTAATTCATGTCGTGATGTAAAGTACTCTCTACCACCGAAGCTACAAGTCCTCAAAATTATTTTTAAGTGAACCGAAAACCAATTTTTTATTGTGTTATTTTTAAGTGAACCGAAAACCAATTTTTGATTGTGTGGAAGTGTTTGATGTTGTAGAAGTCGAGCAATGCAGAAACTGCTGGAGCGCGTTGAAACCCGTGAGCAACAGTCGGCATTCATGCGGCTTCTGAAGCATATAACGATTCCCTTGAGCAAGACCCAGCCTGGTTATTATGTGATTCAAGTTTGCTTGAAACATTTCTCTCCTGAATCCACCAAGGTAAGGAATGTGCTTTTCATATATATATATATATAATGAGATAGTTAATCTTATGATAATGCAAATTGAGGCAGCAGCAATTACCTAAGGACTTTTAGTATGTGATTTAATTCTTGAGGTATGTGTAAAAATTAAATTGATCAACTGCTCACTATTCTTATCGTGTATCTTATTAAGTATGATTGATTTAATTACTGCGCTATCTATCATCTTGTGGAGGAAGAAATTAAGGCTTGCAGCTAAAGGATCAATAATCTATCATTTGTATATGTACCAGGATAAATTACTTGTTCAATGCACCAGGATAAACGTATAAGCTTTAAGTTTTGTTTAGCATTTGAATATGTATGACAAACTGGTATGACCTACTAATTTTCATGTTGGATATGTGAAAACAGACAGCTGGCTTGTAGTGGGCACACATTTCATTTCGTTCATTTTTAACTTTATATGCATAAAATGCATAAGAAAAAGTTTATCATTTGAAAAAATTTATGTACAAATTAATTAGTTACATATGTACAATCAAGTCCAAAATAAGATGTTGAAGGAAACTAAATATAATTTTTTTGAACTACTAATTTTCCTGTTGGACTTTGTCTTGCAATTTGTTCTTCATAGAGAAAGTATATACACAATCCTGTAGTTAAAAGCACCACCATTTTATTATCTTAATGACTTGTTTGTTCTTCATAGAGGTGCGACATATAATGAAACAAGCTTGTAGTTAAAAGGATCAACCATTTTATTATCTCTACTTGTTTGTTCTATATAGATCTGATATATAATGAAACAAGTTTGTAGTTAAAAGGGTTCAATTATTTCATTGTCTTTAAGACTTGTTTGTTCTGCATAGAGGGGCGATATAAAATGAGACAAGCTTGTAATTAAAGGGATCAACCATTTTATTATCTTTAAGACATGTTTGTTCTTCATAGAGGGGCAATATGTAATGAAACAAGCTTATAGTTAAAAGTATCAATCATTTTATTATCTTTAAGACTTGTTTGTTCTTCACAGAGAGGCGATATATATATATATATATATATATAGATATATAATGAAACAAGCTTATAGTTAAAAGTATCAACCATTTTATTATCTTTATGACTAGTTTGTTCTTCATAATCAGGCAATACATAATAAAACAAACTTGTAGTCCATTTCATTATCTTTTAAGAATTGGTTCTTCAATCGATAGAATAACAAGAAATTAGCACAGCGAAACATTAGAAGTTGTGCATGGGTACGTGGCTAGCTAGTTCTTCAATACACACATCGGCTTTGGGATACATGTTGTAAGTGTATGCCACAACTTTCTAATACTTTGTATGTTTGGACAAAAATTTGTTAATTTTGGTAATGATTAATTAGTTAGATCTTAATTTTGGTTATGATTAGTTGGATCTTAATTTTGGTTAATTTTGTACCTAAGTTGTATAATATGAATTGTTGTCATGGTATATTTTATATAGATTTCGTAGCTGAACTTATGTATTAGAGAGTTAATTTCCAATTATAAGTCTCTCAACTGCAAATTGTTATTATTTTGCAGGGTCTTCTGGAATTAGTATACGAAAACTGCCTTGCTCTTGCAAAAGACAAATTTGGGTGTTGCTTAGTGCAAAGTAGTGTTCATTATGCTTATACAGAAGCTAAAGAGCGTCTTGTGGCTGACATAACTGAAAATGCTCGAGTTCTCTCTGAAGATCCATACGGGTTTGTCCTCTAACCTACATGTTTGCCATATATGTAAATTGTTTTACGCTTAACTACATTTCTCAATTCTCAAGTGGAACAGTTCTGTTGATTTTGACACGATATGTGAGTGATGTAGTCATCAACGCAACGAGTAGATGGAGTGTATATACTATTGTTTGAGATATATTTACTTCTTTCTTGTTTACCATTTATTAGGGTAGATCACCTCGTCATTTCATCTCATTAGAGAACTGCGGGCAATATGTTGGCATTAGTGAAATCACACTTTTCCCTTTAATTTGTTTTTAAACTTCCTTCTCATTAATTATCTGAAGGAACAATCATATGTTAACTTTATTTATAATTTTAAATGTCATATCTTAACCTGTATATCAGGTTGTTGTGGTTCTAGGCAATATAATAATGGGAGTTTCAACGAAACACTTTCGGTACTATTCACTTTTAACGAAAATGACATTTTTACTCTAAAAATTCACTCATGGTACTATTCACTTACAACATATTTTTGTCCTTTTAATTAAAACTCAAAGTTTTCGAACCCTTTTCATTAGTTTTCCTTATAATATAACTAGCTTGTTAATTTGGACCATGATTTAGGTGGACTTTGTATTACTAGGTAGTGCTTAGATTAATCGGCCATAATGATCGGATTCGTCATACCTATTCAGAAAATCTCAGTGATTATTCCATATAGCTCCTGAACAGATAGCAAGAATTCTAGGGTTTCTAAGAATTCAACGAAGATAAGGAACTCGGATTGATTTCTCTGAAAAATGAACTTGGTTGATTATAAAGGTACGTAATATCTATGTATACTTCGAGCTCATAATTATAAGTTAAATAATCTCCTATTCCCATCCACTTTCCTCCCCTCCTCTCACACATTGTTTTTTGTCTTATTGTCTTTATAAAAAAATCAATATAAGATATTGATATGGCTTAACCGTGACCGTATAAATAGGAGGGGAGGGAAGGGGAGAGAGATTAGGAGGTGAGAGAATCCTCCTCCCTATGTAACAAGGTTTTAACTATACGTAGCAACATAACATGTTTCTGGTATCTCACAAGTATTACCTCAATCTAATTATAGTTGACATCATATATCATCTATGATACTATATTCTCTTTTTGTTTTTTACCAGGAACTATGTCGTGCAGTACATAATTGGATTAAAGAACCCGCGTGTTACAACTGACATACTAGCACAACTTGGAGGTAGTTTTGTTAATCTATGCATGAATAAGTATGGCAGTAATGTGGTTGAGAAGATCTTGAAAGAGGCTGGAGAAGAGCATGTCAATACCATTGTTTACGAGATGATTAATAGTCCACACTTTTTGGCTCTTCTTCAAGATCCTTATGGGAATTATGTTGCTCAATCTGCTTTGGGAGTATCCAAGGTAAAATCATACACAAAATGCTTTTGCTGCACTAACTTGTTAACTCCTTTGGGTTGATTATGGCAATATCCAAAAATCGATATGAACGTAATCTCATTTAAAATGTATGGTGTTAGATTGATAATTCCATATTCGGTGACATAAAATCTTATATATATCTAAAATGAGAGGACATTACCTTGATACTTGTAAACAATTATTAAATTTAATAATCTTTCCTTCGTTAAGTAATCTTGGATGCCTCCTTTGTTGGATTATTGTAACTTTCATGAAACTGTATAGTATTTATGTGTCTATCTAATATCTATTTGTCATTACATACTAGGTCACATGACCATAGTCTCATAGCGATAGATACAAACAATTCATATCGCCATTGGATGAAATTTTTCTCCCTTATTTTTTCTCCGTTATATTAAAGCGAATCAAAACTCTGATGTATTCTAATCTTATCTTATTACACAACCTACTTTGCTTTTTTTTTTTTAATTCCCATATTTGGACATACATACCTTCGAAGAAATTCGAACTTTCTATTTTCTGTTACCTCTTATGTCCACTGATCATGTCTTAAAGGAATAAACAGTCATGGTTTAGCGCTTAGCTCTCTATCACTTGTGTGCACAATCAAAAATAATTTGATACCAATATACATGTTGTAATGATCTAATCTGTCTCTATCACTTGTGTGCACAATAAAAAACAATTTGATACCAATGTACATGTTGTAGTGATCTAATATGTATTCGTTGTTGGCAAAGCAGGGAGCTGCTCATAATACTCTTGTGCAACTCGTTCGGAGCCATTACCCTTATCTCCACAGTCATCTTTACGGGAAAAGGGTGCTGGACAAAACCAGGGGTCACAGGCATCGTTACTAAATCATGTAAACCACAAAATGTAGCTTGACCAGCAGACGGAAGCGCCATAACCTTGCCGATTCTGGGCTTTTGTTATGTTGCATTATCTCTCTATCCCTAACTCTTTAGAGTAAACTTCTTACTGTTGTTGCTAGGCTAAATGTTTTAGTGGCAACCTTGTTGTGGTTGTTAATTATAGTATAAATGTATTAGGAGGACTAAACTTTGTTGTTGTTATGTTGGCTTTTTTTAAGGCCGTTGTGGTAGGGAAGTTAGCGTGGAGGAAGAGTTCCATCTGCCCTACAATATGGCATGTGTTTCAAGCGCTTGATGCACTAACCAAGCCATTAGGTGGATGGTTGTAGATTATGGAGGCTTCCCAATGTTGCTAAGTTATAGAGATTTTGATCTCAGAATATTGATATATAATCTATGGTGTTTTTTAATATTTGGCTAAGATTTTACTTTTGACAGTTATGCATGCGTGAATAACTGTCAACTATTTATGTATCAAGTCATCAACAATCACGTGGGTGATTGTCGCTAGCATTTGACTTTGATTTTGTTGTTGCTACTTGCTAAAGAATTGCTAAAGAATGGCTTGAACTTATGTATTGAACTCGTAGAAAATTCAATGGAGATTGTCACTACTTTATTATAGCTTCTTATCAATTAAATCAAATTATTCAATAATATTTCTGTCAAAAAATAAAGTAATCAAATTTGTTACTCATGACGGGCCATACGATGGTGAAAAACTTCCCTTAGGGTGAAGATTATAGAATTATTCTATCATTAACTTTCAATTGAAATTGTCTACGTGCAAGTATTGTAGCTAAATCTAAAAAATAATACCAAAATTAGGTAATAAGTACCCTGAAATTAGATGATAAACACAAAACTAGATAATAATCCTGCCGTGTCTTAACCATTTAGACCCACAGTTCTTTTGAATACAATTTATCTTAGTTGTGAGGGAGATTTGAACTTGAGTGCATAACAGTTCTTTTGAATACAATTTATCTATAGTTGTGAGGAAGATATAAACTCAAGTGCATATGAAAGAGCAGTTCTAATCATGATGGCTGCACCAAAGTCCCTTTAACAGTTAATAAGTACCCATGAGCGGTAGGTCTCGGGTTCGAGACTTGGGAGCAACCTCTTCATAAATGGGGATAAGGCTAACCGACATTTACCTCTCCCAGACCCTGCGTAAAGCGGAAGCCTTGTGCACTGGGTATGACCTTTTATTTGGAACAAGAATAGCGGAGGATCCATATCTTGTAAGCGATAATGCAAGGAGATGAGAAGGTGAACTCACAGATCAAACAGAAAAAAGCATTCATTTAGGAGAAATCTCAACTGGTGTAACATGTTGACCAAAAACCAGTAACCCCCACACAGCAGAAACCTAACAAAACAAAGCAAACAAACCACATGATAATTTCAATTTTTCGCTACCTCACTGGGGATTAATATTTTGCGAAAAGCTCACAGAGCTTTGTTTTTTCGTTAATACAAGCATCGACACTATTGTTATACCATCTAGATGATGGTCTCAACGATACCGTAAAGAGGCAGTAATACATCTGAACTTCATACGAATCATAAACTAGGCCATTCCACAAAAGCAGGTGAATTTGTGACTCCGCAAATGGCGAAGAAAGAACAGCTCTGCTTTCTAATAACAACCAAAACAGATAGCTATGGCTTTACTCTGAATCTGATGAGTCGGCCTTGCTGCTTTGCCGGACGCTCCTGGTTTGTGCACTAGACTTCATAGACGATTCACCTTCATAAAAAATGACTTGGGCTTTAGCCAATCTCTCTTCCAGTTCTTCTGTGCTGAAGTCGTCTTTCCCACCAAGCTCATCGAATCCAACCTATTGCATAATGGACACCAGCCATTAGAAAGCAAATTATCAATTTAGTCTATGGTGTGCAAGTCCTTCCTATACATACCACATAATCATCCACTTTGGCATTCTTAATAAGAGCAATGGTTGGAAGAACAACAATCTTGAGCTTCTCCGCTAAGAAGGGACTTTTCTCAGCATTGATCCTCACAAAACGTGTCTCCATGTGTTGCTTCGCCAATATACTCAAGTGCTTATCCACTACCTGCAAATGAAATGTACATATAAATTGTCTGTCCTAACTTTTGAGTAAACTTTATCAGTAATACAAGTACTCATTAGATAAAACCTATGATATTTAACCGATACCAACAACAGCTAGAAGTGATATTGTAGAAGCCCCATATACTTCTAGAGGATCAAACATTTTGGGAATAAGCACTGAAATCAGAACAGCTACATGTTCGAAGTAACCCTGCAACTAACTTTATATCAAATACCCCTAGCTCTCTACAATATGCATCCAAGATAAAAGTAATACTTCTACATATCCAAAACATCCACAAATTTTTGAACATTGTCCATACATTTTAACTTCCAATCAACAAAACCCAAACAGAAAGACTTCAAAAGCAGCTCCAGAAAACGGAAAATGCCAAACTTCAAAACTAATTAGTCTGCAGGTGTATGCTCAATAATTTCATCATATCTATCCAAATTATCAATGAGGTTCCGAAAGAACTCAACTACAATTTCCTTTTTTCATCCATATTGTTTCCTCTGTGTAAAGAATTGCATCCTCCCCTCTCCCTTTATACTCTTGAACTTCTCCGTGCCCCGAGAAATGAACACCCAACTTAACCAATTATAAAGCACAGCATCTACATCACTCCCTCCAATCACCAAATACAAAATTCAAAATTCATACAATGCCCCTCATGCTACTTTCCACACTTCAAGCTCAGAAAACCCAACAGTTTACACTAAAGTACAACTTTTTCGCCGAAATTCAAACAATTACACCTAGAAAATACACCCCAAAACTAGAATTTTAACAGAAAGCTTGAATTTTCATACAATGGTACTTAAACAAAAAGTTAAAATTCAACCTTGCAGGGCCAATTTTCGCGGTAAAAGTGGCAGACGACCCGGTCGCTGGCCTTGACGGCAGAGAAGAAGTCCTTCTCGGAAGGAATCTCAGAGTACTCGCCATGTCCGAGGGAGATCCAACGGCTGCGCTTCTCCGCCATTTTCTTCATTTGCTGAAGCCTCCGCTCTCTAAGCGCCTCTAGATCGTCATCGTCAACTCGATCTAGGGCTGCGATCTCCTCGTCGAGCTTGTCCTCCACCGCCTTCGCAACCGTCAGCAATTGCTTCTCCAATATCTACCAGAAATCATCGAAAAGCTCAGTTTTTGAATGTACATATGTAAATGTATGTAAAAATGAGAAGGAGAGAGGTTACCTCTTGAACCGCCCGGTTCTCCATTGTTGAATTGGATGAATTTGCAGAAGCTTTTTTCGTATGAAAAAATGAGATTTCGGAGGGGAGAGAGAGGGAAAGAGGGCGGTCTCTTTTGTGTTCCGGACGAGCGCAATTGCAGACGACGCGTCTTATTGTTTGGGGGTTTGAAACCGAACTGGGCCTGGTGATGAGCGGGCCTTGTCCATCTGTTCGGGTCGGATCTATCTCTCGAACGGCTCCTCAGGGCTCTTGCCTGTCGGGCATGGCTTGTTGCTTGGTGTGCTACAATATAAGTTTGCCGCTAGTTTGAATGGTGCCTTTATGGGGCATTTGGTTAGGCATTGAGACTCACAATAAAAAATAACATGGATCTGAGTGTGCCACTGTTATCTTTATATAACAAATTGTTGTTTAGTTGTGAATTGGGTTGATTACTTGAACCACAAGTTACTTAGACTTCTTGGTTATCAATGAATTGTCATAGATGGGTTAAGTTTATATAAAGTTCTTTTTCTTGCCTTGTAAACAAGGACTTTTAATTCATGATATTGTATGTCCAAAATGAAGGGGGTTCAAGGTCCTTCCAACCATTACAGTTAAAACTTTAAAGAAATAAAGTCACTAAGTTTGGCCAGATTGATCACATGTGAGACTTTGAACGAAAAACAGTTGAAAGTGATGTAGAACACGATGAGATATGCATTAAACGACAAATCTACTTTATGTAAGTACAAGCAAAAGAGACTCAAGCAAAATTTAACCTTGTCGGATAAGATTCAACTTCTTACAACCACCTCTCTTTGGGTTTACATGTAGACTCTAGGGAACAAAATGTAAATAGGTTTTACTAGAGGGAATCGATACTACAATATTGGGGGAAGGTAGTAGAGCTTCTAAACCTGACAAAAGATATCACTTCAAACATAGGCATGTGGTCTATGCCTTGTTGAAATGGTTTTCAATTCTACTCAGGCCTATCAACTTGTCCAAGCCCAGTCTCCTCTTTGCTTTTGTATCATTGGGCCTCCATCCTCATAAAACCCAGTGTCAAATTTCCACTCAAACACCACCATGATCTAAAATCTTTTTTTGTTTTGTTTTTAATATTGATATTATCTATGTGAATAATGCTTGGTAAATCAAATTTGCAAACAATTAACTGTATGATGCGTAATTAATAAAAAATAAACACGTTAATAAACACTTGTAATAATACAATCATCAACAATCATGTTATATTATTTACAAAATGTAGTTTAAGAAGTTGGTCTCGGTAGCATTACCCTATCTACATTAATGGGGTGAGGAAAGTGAACTAAATTTCATAATGGGTTAGTTATAATAATTTAGTTTGTATTCACCATTGAAGGTAATCAAATCAAAGATCCCTCACTTACAAAAAAAAAAAAAAAAAAAAAAAAAAAAAAAAAAATTACCAAGAAACTGTAATAGTATGTGGCCCTTTTTCTGAAAGTGCTACTTGTACTATATTTAATATTTATTGACTGTATATCGAATTTTTGTTAAAGGTTAATTAAACCAACTTTGGTGGACTGAGTTTTGTCTTTTCTAAAGATGTAATGGACAATGTAAGTAGACACAAAGAAGTTAAGGATTACATGCAGGGGGAGATAAATATTTTGGTTTTTTGAACAAACGATATTATCTACACTAAGAGAATGAGGGAATAGGTTAAGACTGAACATGACATAAAGTTGTGATAAGTTAGATACCATACACATAATTATTTGGTCTAGTGGTACTCACAAACAAATCCATTAATGGACATCAACCATGTTTTAAAAAAGGGTCATGCTAGGGAGACAAAATTTACAAACTAAATGATGTGTCACTAATAGGAATGAGCACGTTTATCAACACTTAAGTAATAAACCAATCAACAACTTCCATGTCCTTTAGTTTCCATAATTTTGTTTACAAATTTAGTCTCCCTAACTGACACAACCCGACCCAGAATGTCCACTAGGATCCCGAATCGAGTCGTGTTGGCCGACACCTAGAAGGTGACGAAGCCATAAAATGTGATAGAGTGTAGAAAAATGTGAATAAATTTGAATCTAAACGTATCTAAATACTAGAGTGTGCGCGATGTCAGAGCATAAGTAAAGTACAGTAGCATGGGTAAGAATCATACCCTCAGAGGTAGCCATCAATACTAAGATTCGCCAAAGATCCTCGTCGATACGAACTTAGCAGTTAAAACCTGGAGGGCACAAAACAGAGAGTGTGAGTGAGCAATAAAACCAAGCTTCCCAAAGTTATTACCTTTCTAAAAGTAATGCCCCTCAATGTAAAACCAGTATCCTTTTCATAAGACAATACTACATATATATATATACACACACACACACACACACACATTAACGAGTAGGCCAAATGAACTTAATCAATATAGGATGATATACCAGCTGGAGTCACCTAACGTGACCTGTACAACTGTATCCATATCTCATCAATCAATGCTAACATATAAGTCGGAGTCACCTATAGTGACATGTACGACATATTCATATTTCATCAATCAATGCTAGCTCATAAGTCGGAGTCACCTGTACAACATATTCATATCTTATCAATCAATGCTAGCTCATAAGTCGGAGTTACCTATAGTGACCTATACGACATATTCATATCTCATCAATCAATGCTAGCTCATAAGTCAGAGTCACCTGTAGTGACATGTAATACCCTGAAAATTTAAATATATGAATTATATATTCATAATTATGCATAAGTGGAGAAAATCGAAAATAAATCGATTTATGATTATGAAGAATTTAATCGAGTACTTTAACAGTTTTGTTTCCGGAAATTATATTAATCAACGTATTTGTATTATTGAGCTTTTATATGATTTTTCAAGAATTTATAATAATTTGTGTAAGTTTAGTTTTAAATTAAACTAGTTACGAGGTTTAAAGTTTGGACCTTAATTATATAAAATACGTAGACCTTTCGAGGTCAAAATTTATATTTTTGAATAGAGCTCGACCTCATGAACGCGTAGGCGCAAATCGTTCGTGAAACGAAGTTAGAACGAAGAAGTTATTAACGTTTAAAGTCGGGGATAAAATGGTAAATTTATCATTTCTAGAATGCTCAAGATTTTTTGAGCCAAATCTAGAAGGCCACGTGTGTGGCCCAGATTAAAAGTAAGAAAGGTTAGGCGGTGGAGATGGAAGATATAGGAGGGAAATGAGGGAGAGAAGGGCCAATCAGAAAAGGGGGAGAGAGAGAGTAACCAAGGAGAGAAGAGAGAAAGGAGGGGAAAGGAGGGGAAGGAAATACACTAGATCCTTCGACCCGGTTCTATGTCATCAACCCGACCCGGCTTCCTCCACCTCCTCTAGTGGCTTTTCATAGGATTTTCCGACGAATTATACTACCAAACCATCTTAAAAAGGTTCCATGACCTTCCCTTGACTGATTCTATCACAAATTAGATAGATATTGGCTCTGAAAATGTGCAAAACCCCACCCGGGGGTGCGCGAGTTCATTGTTGCGATCCATCAAATCTGAAGCAAACTCTCCCAATTTCCACCACCCATATGTTCCTTAAGAACCCAGGAATAAACCCCAAACAAGTTTTGGGGCGTCAGAGCTGCTATGAAATCGAATCAAGAACACCCATTTCTAGGGTTCCCGGCGATTCGAGGCAAATTGGAGCATTTCTGAGCTAAATTGCCCTTGGTCACATGTATGAAAGTTACTCTACACATTGAGATCTTCATTCCTGTCATTTTTTGAAATTTTTAGAAATAGTCAAATTCCTGGCCGTGCGCCGCCAGGAATTCGACTATTGCTCTTTATGCGAATTTCGTCATTCAAATTATGTCTTCAAGATCAAAATTGCTGTGGTTTGAATATTATTACGATTTTGGTATATGCTGCATTAAAGGAATATTTTTGGATTTGGTTTAAATTGTTGGAAATGTGCCCTAAAACCAATCATATGATGATACTTTACGGACATTTCACATGTTAAACTAATCTAGTTTAATATCAAGGGCAAAGATTATTGTTTGAGCCGTCTCATATAAATGTTATATGCTTAAACGATAAGTCCAAGGAATATGTGATTGGGAGAATGCGATCTAAAGAAGTTAGATTCATGAGACCATTCTTTCGTAGACACATCCTAAACGTTCCTGATCATAGGATTGCCAATTGGGCATTGACAGTCCGTTAAGATCAGTACGTGCTGTGTATTCTCTCAGGGAGAGTGACTAGTCTTGAGTCATTGGTGTGTGTGACATCAAGACAAGTACGTAGGTGCTCAATAGAGAATGAGTTCACTGAACACGATCAACGAAGAGTTCTCATATTCATGTCACATGAGAACTCATGGTTGGGATAATGCAAAGTAGTCCTTTGACCTGAGGCATCATGTTTGTCTTGTGGTTAAGTCCTTGATCTTTGATTATGTCAAAGTCACCCCATCCGCGGGTGTCCACGTCATCGTTGGGGTTAAGCCACTTAGCTATGGAGGCAAGTGAATGCGCAACAAGGGATCTCTAACCTTCAAACCGTTTGAGGGAGAATACTCTTTGATATGATTAAGAATCTCTGGCCAGAGTATGAATGAGATTTAGGAAAGTCGTTCCAAATCACATTCAAGGTAATCATATAAGCACACGAATCACATTGGATAGTAGACATGAATAAACTATCAAACCAAACAATGTGGTCAAGAGTATTGTATTAGAGAAATACCGTATTGCATTTGTAATCCTAAACTGAATAGGTTCTCTACCTCTTCTGATTAGCTTGGGTAACCATGATATGCTGCTAGGTGTTACTCTTGGTTTGTGGAAGCCCTAAACGTGTATAAACACTAAAGGGAGAATTGAAAGTAAGTTTCAATTCACAATCGATTTTAAAGAGTTTTAATCGCCCACTGCCTCGCTAAAAGGAACCTAATGGATCGTACACCGTGTAAGGTGGAGATTGGATAAACAATGGAGATGAGTAAGAATAATTAAATGGTTTAATTATTTATGGCAAGGATTAATTAATATGTTAATTAATCAAACGAATAAGTTCGTTAAAGACCTCGGGATAGTTTTGGACCTTAAGGCCCAATGGGCTTCGAACGTCAAGCCCATTGACTTAAGTTGTATGACAATTTAATGAATA